TTGGGCTGGGGGAGCTTCAAGGGCTTTGCCAACCCAAACCATTCTGTGATGCTATGTCTGATCCCATGTGTGTGGTGGGCAACCCGTGCCTTGCGGGATCACGGTTGGTGCCGATGTTGTTTGTGTTGCCATCAGTAGAGAAAGACGGAGCGACCCGATCTGGGACCAAGCGCCCGTCTCCGATCAGCCAGCACGTCCCCGCCTGGCCTGTCCCGCTCTCCTTAGCGCCGCTTTGTGTCCCTCTCTTCTGGGGGTCGCAGTGGTTTGGCCTGGCCTTGTCCGGGCTAGAGGTTTCCGTGCAGAGCCTGAGCCATCGTGCAGGTGCAAAAATTATTTGTAATGTGCGGGAAGGCTGATGGGGAGGGAGGCTGGGAACCGGGCTCCTCCGGCCCTGCCGCACAGCGTGGGGCTAGCTGGGCTGGTGCTAGTCTCGTTTTTTTCATAATTTCAACTTGTTTTGGTCGCGTTGGGCTTGGATTTTGTCCAGATAACGCATGCTTTGGCATCTAATGTCCTCCATCGCTCCTGGGCTGACGGAGTTGGGGGGTGGTGGGGGGAAGGTTCTCTTGCCTTTCTGAACTTCTTGGAGCCTTTTGGGTTGGATTGCTATCCTTAAAAAACATGTGGAGGAGCAGAAGCAGCTTCGGCTCAGATGTCTGTATCGCTGTGGAGGGCTGAGGGACGGGGTTCAGCTTTCCCTCTGTGCTGGCCGTCTGGAGCAATGCGGAGTGGGTTTGTTGGCTGCAGTGCCCGTGCCTAACGGGCGGTTTAACCTTTCCTTTGCGTGAGAAATACAGCCGTCCTTTGACAGAAACTCTGAAGCCTTTCCCAGGGGTCTCGTGGTGCTCCTGGAGCAGCGGCAGGGTTTTCCCCTCCGGCGGGGAGCGCCTCTCCCGCTTTGCCCGGCGGCCGTGGTTACCCTCCTGCTTGCTCACCCCAGGCTGGTCATAGCTCCGGGGATGGGCGAGCGTCGGGGGTTGCGCTGGCTGAGCTCCGGGTCGTTCCTGCGCTTTGTAGAGGCCTGGTTCCAGTTCGGTTTGTTGCTCTTCATCCCCGCGCGCGTGCCTTGGAGCTCCTTCCCTGGAACGTGACTGCTGTGCCCTCAGAGGCCGCCCGCTCCGTTCCATGGGACCTTGTGGTCTTCCCCTGCCTGAACGTGCCACCCCCATTTGGCGCCGTCCCCTGCTTTTTGGGGTATATCTGTGCTGTCTAGCTGCTCTGACCCACGGTTCCCAACGCAAAATCTCAGCCTGGGCATCAAGGCAGCCGACGTGGAGCTCGCCCTTCTCCTTTGCCTTTCACAGAACACGTCGGAGCCGTCCGCAGCCCCGCCGGAGGTGAGGGGCCGGGGGGGCCTTCATTAATACAAGCCTTGTGGAAAATTCAGCCCCTGGCCTGGCCTGCCATGATCTTCCCCAGCGGGGTCCTCCTCACCCTTTCAAAAACTTCCTGACGGTGTTGGTCTCTCCCCTGGGGTAGCTCATGGCCTCCCTTACGGTCACTGCCAGCAGGTGCTAAAATAGGATGCAAGCGGTCATAAAAATTCAGGGTGCAGCCCCCATTTTGGAGATGGCCACCTGCATTGGCATCCCAGGGGAGAGATGGCTGGGCACAGGGCCCCGGGCTGCTCGTGGCCGCGGAGGAAGCGGCAGCGCGAGGCGTCTGGCCACGGTGGCTTGCCAAAGCCCCTCCGTTAGCCCCGCTTGCCGTTTGGTAGGCAGCAATTAACGCCGCAGACGGCTCTGAGAAGAGGGGCTGATGACTTCAATTAGACATCTATTCAGATCAACCAGGGGAAGAACAATTATTGCTTTTAAAAAATGCCCCACGATTAACTCTTTGCTCTCCATGCCTCCCGGAGGCGCCGCAGCTGCGTGCACACCTTTACCTGGCGGCACTGGGGTGCCAAACACGGCCGTGGGGTTTTGGGAAGACGACCCCCATCGCGGCGATGTTCTTTCTTGAATTTTGCTATGGAGGGATGCGGCGCCAGGGCAGGCGGGAGGAGGGAGGTACGGCTGATGGGGGCAAACCTTGGCACCGGGCGAGCAGGGACAGCAGG